AGAGGGAACTCTGTGGGAGAGGGTATGAGGACAGGAACAGTTGTGGGGACCAGGTGTGGTGGGAGTGGGTTTCGAGGTGAAAGGACTGAAAGAGAGAAAAGGAATCCATGTAGGGATATGTCAGAGATGAGCCAGAGATTTGGCATGGGGCAAGCTCCTGGGAGGATATGCTAGTGACCTTGGCTAAGACCCCTGCCACAGGGAATAAGCAAACTGAAGTGGCCACTTCCTTAAGCCAGACACAATTTTCAGTGGAGGGAGGGGGGACATCAACCCACTCACAAAACCTTCTACCCAAAATTTTTCCAGTCTACAAGATATGCAGGGATAAAGATGGAGCAGAGATTGAGGGAATAACCAACCAACAATGGGACAAACTTTAGAACCACCTATGGAAGAGAGACAAGATCTGTCACTATTGTTGATGCTTGGTTATGCTTTCATGGCCACTCATCCAACAACTAAAGGCAATTGATGGATACCCACAGCCAAACATTAGGCAGAATTCGGGGAGTCTTGTGGAAAAGTCAGAGGAAGGAATGAGTGAGCCAGATGGGGTTAAGTATACCAGAAGAAGATCTATAGGGCCAAATCACATGGACACACTGGGTGCTCACAGAGACTGAACCACCAGTCAAAAAGGATGCATGGTCTAGACATAGGCTTCCTAACATATCGAGCAGGTGTGAAGCTTGGTCTTAATGTGGGTCTGCTAAACATCAGAATGTGGGTTGTCTCTTATTGAACTTTGTTGCCTTCCTTTGGTACCTTTGCCACTAACTTGGCTGCCTTGTACGTATTGAGACCGAGACCTTGTATGGCCTCAATGGGAGAAGATGCATTTAATCCTGATACTGCATGGTGTGCTAGGATGTTATGGTAACTGGTGAAGGTCAGGAGTGGGTGCCTCCATTTCTTTGGAGAGAATAGGGGCAGGAAAAGAAGGGAATGCATCAGAGGCTAGGAATGGGAGTAAATGAAAGGCAGGATGAGATTGGGTGTTAAAGTAGTTAAATAAATGAATTAATGAAAACAAAAAGAAATGATAAATCAGGAGCTACATATGTTTAACATCATTTAAACATTGTCCACTGCAAGCTGAATAGACATATGTTCTCCCAGAAACATGTTGGCAACATATGTTTTCATGGGCCAATTATAATTACATAAAAAATCATCAAATATGCAATATTTTGCTATAAGGTAAAGTTTGGAGGATTGTTGTGAAGCTTGGTGGCTATAGTTAGTATGAACTTATGATTGATAATTAGCATATATAAATTATAAAACAATGTTTTCTCAGTCAGACATTTTCCTACAGACATAAATAGGTAAGGTATAGTTATTTTAATTTCTTACCACACTCCCTCCCTCTACAGAGGGTTTTTTTTTTCTCTTTACTTATAAATATAGGTGTAAAGTTTATACTATAGAAATTGTTGAAGTTTTTAATTACTTTGATTTTATTTACATATTTTTCACAGCTTTTATTCCATCCATGAGCAGGGATAAGTTGAAGTCAAGAGACCAGAAGGAAAATGCTGAGAGACTCTAGCTCCACATCAAGAGGAAGTTTCATGAATTTTCATGTTAGGTATTCAAATAAGTAGAATGATATAGACTCTCTGCACTGAAGTCTCAAACTGTAGGGTTCTGAGATACTTGTTATATATTATTACACCCTTTTAAATGGCGTTCACATATCCAGTGAATGAATAGGTAAACACTGTATGAAGTGAAGTACATCCAGACCTTTTGTGGAATGACTTAGGACATTGGCATGGCTTTGTAAGAACTACATAGTGACTATCTAAAAAAATAAGCCAACAAGCAAACCATCAACACATACACATGTGCAGAAAACATTAGAAATGCAACAAATTAAAGATATTGCCAAACTGTGTTTAGTTTTTATGCATAATAGAACCCTGATTCCTAGTGATTTCGTATCCACAAGTGATTTTTACAATGTCCAACATGGGCCTGGAGAGATGATGGCTCAGTAATTAAGAGTCTTATCTGCTCTTTCAAACAACAGGAGTCCAATTCTAGACCACCATCTGGGAGCTCACAATCATCTATACAGGGTTCTGATGCCTTTGTCTGTCAGGCAATTATACATACAAATAGAACATGAATATACATAACAAACAGAAATAAATATACATTGACAAACTCCTAATTTCCTCTCACTCAGGAATGATGGAGGAGCTCAAACTCTGAAGCCCAGGGCACCCTAGAGTGTTGCCCACCAATTGAGGTCAATGGACACACTTGAAACTCCACATACTCTCTTCACAAAGCCATACAACTGCTACTGATCAATATTACCATTTCAATTAATTGGGCTATTTTTTATCCCTTTGTGAAACTGGGACCATTTTTTATATAAACACTATTTCTGCTAGGTGTATCTCTGCATGTGTATTATGTTGATTTGTGCATATGAAAGTGGGGATCCACACAGGCCAGAAAAGAAGTTCCTATCACTTGAAGTCTGACTTCAATTTGAGACCCACCTGATTATTATCACTTAAACCAAACTTTGGTCCTCTGCAAAAGCAACATGTGCTCTTAACCTGTGAGCAATCTCTCTCAATCTCTGCGTTGTTTGTTTTAAGAATAAGAAAGCATGTTTATTGTGGAAAATCTCAGGTGAAGTCACTGGTCCCAAGGATCAAGGCCAAGGAACTTGACATGAAGACAGAGAGACAGCTTATGGGGAAGACAGAAAGAAGAGCCTGAGAGAAGTTTGGTTATTTTGCTTGTTTTTTCTTTTTCCTTTTTCTTCCTCTGTACCTTAGGCCAGCCTAGAGGTTCCTATGTGTTCCACCTTCACTGAAAACTTTATCCACCTTCCCAAGATTGTGAATTGTGACATTTCTGGAAACAATGTATTTATTTTGATATCTCTCTAAAGGGCATTTGTTGCAGAGTCCTTAAATTTAGATACTTTGATTAATTCAGACAACAAAAATGATATGTAACCAAAGAAATCTTGAGTGTTCTTTAACTCAAAATGTTCAATAAACACAGAGTTAAAATAAATTATTTTATTGATAGTTTACAAGCAAGAGTATACTTACTAGGCAGTGTCAGATTAACTTTCTTTTTCTTTTGTTTTGTTTTTTTTTTTTTGCAATTGAAGATTTAGAGGACAATTCTTTTGTAAAGTAAATGCTTTATCTAATAAAAGGTCCTGCTTATTATTGGACATCTTTATATACACTCTGGGTACTTCATAAAGTTTGGGAAACATTAGGAATAAGGCTCTAGAAACATGGGCCATAAAGAATGGATATAGAGGCTCCCAGTAGTCATCTCATTGAGGCATGACTTAAATACCAAGAGTTCAAAGCCAGAGTGGAAAGCCTATTTACTTTGCACTATATTGTCTTCTTCCCTTTAGCCATCTCTGACTCAGACCAAGGTGCCTTGTGGTCTGAATGTATTGGATATTAATTGTTTGTTTTGGGGCAGTGGGCGATGAGATGCAGCTGGATACCTGGTTGAGAAGGATTTGATCCCCAGAGACTATCAGGGATAGTAGGAGTTTGGCCTTTCTCTTGGGCCCTTGGCTCCTTTCACATAGCTACAGCTCCCCCAGAGAGGTCTGTGGCCATAGGTCACATAGGACAATGCTCCTACTAGCCCCTCTGCAGGTAGAGGGCGTGACTACAGGCCACAGAGCCCCCAAGACAGATCTCCATATTAATGATACCTGAAGGAGAGAGGGCATAGCCAATTAAGCATTTCTTCCCAGACCCTCCTCTTTGCAAAGGTATTTAACCTCAGGCCTGCCCTAAGAATACCAGAGTATAGCTTGATCCATTTTCCACCAAGAAGTTAAATATTTTAATACCATAGTCTATGTCCATGGACTATTTCTCTTTTGGGGGCCTGCTGTGGGGAAATATGGAGAAGGTCTTCAACTAATGAAATGCCATCTAATATCCTGCCACCAACCTCTTTATGTTCCAGCCATGGAAAGCCAGCCAATCGAGTTGCTGACCAAGAGTCTCATCCCTGTAGAACACAGCCAGTGCTTCTCTCCATACCATTTTTGTCTGTGGGTTGATCTAGCCTGTATGCACCATCTCAACCCTTCCATGACCTTTCAATGACACCTGAGAGCCCAAGGACCTGAGAACCAGTAGGTTCCTGGCCCCTTTTTGGCCCAGGGACCCATAACTCAAGAGTTCCAACCCCCAAGGGATCTCAGACTGTGTTCTTCCAACCCGGAGTGGTGTCCAGTGGCTTCTTACAACCCAGCACCCTCCAAGCACAGGCATGAAGTGATCACAGTCAATTTTCCACACCTCTGCCTCTCTGAGCTGTGGCCCTATCCCCTTACAGTGGCAGATACAGGACCCAAAATTCAACACAACAGGACACAAGCCAGCACATGATACAATCCAACAGTCTGTGATCCATTTAATCCTCCTTCACAGGAGGTATGTCCTTGTTGCTCACTTCAGTGCAAATGTTTTGTGCACTTAACTAGTCAGCCACAAAGAGGGTTGTACATGTAGCCCAGACAAAAGACAAGAGAAAGAAGTGTCAAGAAAACTTTCACTTTATACATGAAAATTTCACCCAAACCTTTGCTTCACTCATGAAATACCAGTGTCTTTCTATTACTGAAACCATTGAAACTTCCTGACCTGAACCTGGTAGTGAGGTTGGTAACAGTCAAAGACCCCCAGAGAGAAAACATCCAGGCTTAGAAATACCCAACAAAGCATGTGGTTTGTCAGTCTGTGCTGAAGGCAGGTACAAATGCCAAACAGTTTTCTGACTCCACAAGGCCCCTGTTCCCACAGTCCATCCAACTGTTCCCCTTGTCAAGCTCAGCCTCCAAGATTCCAGTTGCTTTACATTATTTTGTCTGTTTCCAACCTTCTGAGCAGTGTCAGAAGTCAGAGGCTGTGAGGACCCTCAGATGACAGGGGTGTTCCAAACCTACTGTTTATTCAAATCCAGAAGTCATATTTCCCAATTTACTCCCAGCAGCCACAAAGTCTGGATACCTGGTCATAGACAAAGCACTCATCACATGTATGGCAGTTTAATGTAGCAAAAGAGATGTTCTTGGGCTGCCTTACTGTCCTGAGTGTATCCACGAGATCCTGACAAAGGTGGGGAAATCGTTCTTTGAAGAGATGAGTCAAGTCATCATAGCACTCCAGAGGGGCAGGGTATTTTTCCACCTTCATCTTGCTCCAGTTGACTGTGTGCTGAAAAAGGTCCTTCAGGATGGCCATGGAGAAGTCATTGTTGTAGAAGTTGACATATCTGAGCCGAGAGCATTGTCTGAGGGCAGGTAGGAGGACATTGACTTGGGAGTCCTCCATCCTACACCCCAGCAAATCCAGAGTCTTAAGAGTGTCTGCCACTTTCTCTAGGAGTCCTCTCAGAGGCATAAGGTCAAAATCCTGTAAGACCACACCTCTCAAGTCCAGATGTTTTAGCTGAAACAGGCTCTGACAGCAAGGGAAGAAATCCAAGTCTGACTGTGAAATTTGGTAGCCAGTGATGGAGAGAGTCTTCAAGGGTGTCATCAGGAACCTAGGGATACAGGAGATCAAAGGGTTAGTTCTGGAAAATGGTGTTGTAGAGGGTTGGCTGGGATGTACACAGTGGTAAGAGGAATCAGGTTCCCCAAATTCAGTTTGACTAATTGATCAAGGACAACCTCTCTGATGCTTTCTGTTGGAAACTGCCCAGAAAGCACACAGAAGAACTTCCACCCCCAAGAAAGTCCTGACAGGATCTTGATAGTTGCTGTGGGCTCACTGAATTCTGCATTCTATCATTACCTCTGCAGTCATGCTTGCTCTCATGTACAGTCCAAGCTGTAACTCCTGTCCCATGAACTCAGCTCTACTTGGGCAAAAACATTTCACCTATTGGAATTGTGGGAAAATAGAAGGCTCCTCACACAGATCTGTGCATATACCTCCTGTTCACACCATGATAGTGAGTCCCCCGACTCCTCACTACACACTCCCCTTCCTGTTTCCTTTCCATTTGATTGGGTGGGCAGGATTCCAGGAAGAATTATAACCCATCCTTACTAGATCTGACCTACTCTTTACCCCCAATCACTTCTCTACTTCATATGTGCACATTGGAGACACTAATTTAACTTGTAAAATTTCCCTTGTACAACTCAGTATACATAGAAATAAGACATAACTTCCAGAGTCTTATGTGTCTCTAAATGTTTGTTCCTAGTGACTGGTGGGCATCATGCCCCCCAATCCTTAAGATAAACAAAACAGATTTACTTAGGTAGCTGACCCATCTCTCCATTTTTGCTTACCCTAGGACCTGATTTATCTTGTCTCTGAGAAAATGGGTGGGTTTCACAAAGAGTTGCTGTAGACAGTTGTAATGGGAAAACTGTGAAATAAAATTTTTGATACATTCAGCTTCTGTGACTCCTCTTTTAGTGGTAAATGGATAGATGATCTTGTGGAGGGGTGCCAGGAAGACTTTACAAAGATTTTTCATGTCCCCAAAGTAGGAAGCAAAGTGTTCCAGCTGTAACGTATTCCACCTGGTATTTAGTTCTAATTCTCTGATGTGCTCTGGATCAAAAACACTGAAAATCTCTCTGATAACATGGGCTGACAGAGAACAGATTTTCATTTTTGTACAGCAGAAATGTAGGGAGCCTTTTCTCTGCTGGGCCCACTTCAAGAAGCAAACTTGTTCTTCACTAAGGCAGGAACTGATGCACAGTTCAACTATGACCTTCAGACGCTGTCTCAGTGCATATCTGGGAAGTACCTTCACTACCGGCTTCTTGTCCAAGGTTTCTGCTGAGCAGCTAGTGTCCTCTTCATCAGCCTGCATGTTCCAGAAGACATGGTGCACATTTCTCAGGTCGAGAACCTGTAGTTTTGCCTTCCTGCAGGGGAAAGATATCAATGTCAGCAGACCCTGAATCATCTTTTCCTACATATATGTAAACTCAGCTCTCCTTCCTGGAAAAGTTTACGTTTTTTAAGCATCTGATATGTAATATGGACTCAGGTATGCTACAGGAGCTTTCACAGGCTTCTCTATATGTGATTACTTTTCTTTCACTAAGGTACACTTTATTTGTCCTTAGTCAAATTATTAGTGGTTGTGAGAAGGCTAGGGATAGGGTCATTCTACTGTGACACTATGTCTACTCTAGTCCATATTCAACTCTTGTCGATATCCGACTGTCCTCAGTACAATAAACAGTAGCTTTCAAGAGCCCTGTATCCCTAAATGATGATGCCATCAGAAGCATTTGATACACTTATAACCAAGCCAATCTTCCTGACAATGTCTACTGTGTATCCCACGTGCTCCCTTCTACAGTACTTGGTTATTGCTTACCTGGGCTGAAACTCTCCTGTCAGTCGCATGTCTACTCCATCTAGCACAGCATGGAAGGTTTCCAGGTCAGGTGTCTTCATCAATGTCCACATAGGGAGACATGGGAAAGGCCAGACTGCCACCATTGCCCTCACAAGCTTGGTGTGACTGCCAGTGCAGGCCTCCTTGAATAGTGTTGGGAAGAGCCCAGGGGGCAGCTTCTCTAGAAAGGACATGGTCAAAGCCTCATCCCTCACCAGAGTCTGACTTGCCAGCTCCTGGAGTGTGAGTGGATTCTGAACACCCATCCTCTAATGTCTCCAGTCAGAAGTCTCCTGGGGAAGGAGTCAGAAAAGAATATACTTTAAGACAAAGTTTATAAAACTTCCTCACTATCACATCAATCACTAATCTACTGAGCTACTGCTCTGAAAGTGAATGAGACATCAATTTATCTCTTCATATAATACTGGTGGTGTAAAGACAGACTACCACAATGGTATCATGGGAGCCTATTACTCAAATGGGTATTTAAATTTTCAGTCAAAATATTTTTAGATGTGACCCATTCTAAAAAAATATAATGAAAGAAAGAAAGAAAGAAAGAAAGAAAGAAGAAAGAAAGAAAGAAAGAAAGAAAGAACGAAAGAAAGGAAAAAAGAATAGGAGAGACTCCAAGGACTTAACGTGGACACTCCTAGTTGAAATATGCAACAGAGGAGAGACAGAACCTGAAGAGACAATCCCCAGTGGACAGGCATGGACCAAGTTGAGGGAAGGGGCCAACCACCCATCTCAAAAATTTTATCCTAGAACTCTTCCTGTCTAATGGAAAAACAGGAACAAAAAAAAAAATGAAGCCCAGGCTGAAGGAAAGGACATCCAGAAACTGGGATCTTGGGATCCAATCAATCAGCAAACACCAAACCCAACTATTGCTGATTTCATGATATGGCTGTCCTGTGAGAGGCTGTGCCAGAAGCTTTCTCATACAATTGCAGTCACTCACAGACAACTATTGGATTGAACTTGGGGACTGCAATGGAAGAGATAGGGAAGGACTGAAGGAGATGTAGGAGATAGCAATCCTACAGGAAGAAAAACAACATTAACTAACTGGACCCCTCAGATTTCCTAGGAACTAAGTCACCAGCCAATGAGTATACATGGTTGGTCTATTGTTCCTGATACATATGTAGTAAAGGGTTGCCTTATATGACTTCAATGGGAGAGGAGGCCTTCTGTTCTGTGGAGGCTTGTTGCCCTAGTGACGGGGGATGCTAGAGGGGGGTGAGGCAGGGGTGGGTGGGGGTGGAGGAGTTTTCTCTTAGAGGAAAAGGAGAAGGAAGATGGGAGGGGGGCTTGTGGAAGGGGAACAACTTTTGAAATGCAAATAAATAAAATAATTTATAGATAAAAAAGAAACAAAATGAGGAGAAAGAATGCAACGAGGAACAGTTAGAGGTCAGAGGAAGGGGGTTAACAACTGAACTGTAAAAGAGAATCGTAGAAGTATAAATTTTTTAATAAAGGAAAATAAATAATGGAAAAAAGAAAAAACCAACCAACAAACAAACAAAAATAATAAAACAAACAATAAAACAGAAGGTAACAAACAATAAAACAAACAACAACTTTGTGTTGTGGATCAATATTGAAGTAACACTAAGCAGGACGATGACAATGGGTTCCTACAGTTTTCAGGCTTTCCAGGGTACCACAAGCAGACCCTATCCAAAATACCAAAGCTGTGTGGAAAAGATGCTAAACAAAGCCTAAGGTAATATTTGAGTAACTGACAAGTATAATTCCAGCTATTGTGAGTTAAAGAGGATCAAAGAAACATGGTCTACAAGTCCATGGTGTGAGCCAGTGTCTCACAAAAAAAATAAAAAAAAATCATTTCAATGAAAGGAAACATGAGGGAACATGTTAGTCTGCTTTCCACCTTACCCAGAGCCACTTGGCCAGTTCTAGGAGAGTTTGATCAACATGTAAAATCTTCTTAAAAAATAAACCATAATAATGAAATCAACAAGCTATCATTGAAAGATGTTTCAGATGTAGCTAAAATTTCACTTTTAATTAAATCCAAGGTCTTCAATGTGTTCATCTAAAGAGATAGACATTAAAATTTCCTGTCATATATTGGAGTGTAAATGTTTCTACATCCAACTGCATGACAAAAGGAAAAAATTTACATACCAGTTATGAGCATTGCAGGTAGGTCTTGGAATCCCAGCCAAACCAGGCAGCTATCCAGGCTCCAAGTCTCTGAATATGTTCTCTGTCTCCACTGAAGCCCTTATATACCTCTGCCTATCCCTCCCTAATGAAGCCACACCTCCAACCCCAAACTGGCATTGGATTAGATCTTTAAACTCCACCCTTTTAATTCTATGTGCAACACCCACTTCATTGATTGGATCAGAGTTCACTGGGAGAATACCTCCACCCTACCCTATCCTTCAAACATTTCACTTTTTAATTAACAACACATCACTGACTTTGTGGATTATTACCTTCATTGCTTAAAGTATTACATAATTTTATGTTTGGTACAGTACTGGGTATTGTTGTAAAGTCAGGATTGTTTTAGAACTCTAAATGTTAGCAGTCCTCCTGCCTCAGCATCCTTCTTCCTGCCAGCATTACTGTTGTAAATAACTATACCTGGGTGAATTTTATTCATGTCACCAAAGTCAGTCTGATTGGTCTCAGATCAGGGTTTAATCTGTTGCTGATAATAGACATAAAAATAATTCATAGATATTATTGTCACTGGATTTGGGACAAACAGATTTTAATAGTCAGGAATATGTTTTACACAGCTCAAGGACTGAATTGGATGCATTGTCAATAAACTTCAGAAGCCCATACTCAAAAGGTGGAGACAGGAGTACGGCTTGATTCCATTAATATTTTCTCCAGGATGCTGGGGTTGTACTCAGTTTGTAGAGAGTGACCCAGTATACAGTGAGTATGGACCCAAAGAGAAACAGAAAATGGAGGATCTGAGGGAGATGCCACCCTGGGCTGCCAGAAATCAGAGAATATGTCAGGTAGGATCAGCATAGCATGCTTACTCAAGATTAAATCAAGAGTGGGACCTATGCTGAGGCATTGAACTTAGGGATTCTGCAAAAATCACGATTCTCAACTAAATAAACAAATAAATGAGTTAGTGAAAACCAAAAGAAGTGATAAATAAGGAGCTACATATGTTTAACATCATTTAAACGTTGTCTGCTGCAAGCTGAATAGACACATGTTCTCCCAGAAACATGTTAGCAACATAT